TGCTCATTAGATTGGGCTCTTGGAAAGAAAAAACAACCCTGTGTTTTCGAATATAGACTCACAGTACTCACAGAATTCTCGCTACATAATAGGTACACACTATTTTAATGAATGAGTAAATGAATGAATGAATGAATGAATGAATTATTGAAAAACAATGAATAAAATTCTATCTCCTCCCCTTGATTCTGTTACTCTCTGTATTTGCCAGTATTAATGAAGTAGGTTTCGGAGGCTTCTTACACTCATTCTTATGGTTAAAGAATAGATTTTGAAACCTGAGGATGTACCAACTATTATTATGTGTCATAACTGTTAAAAAATATTCTTGCATGCATTCAGGTATTTCTGCAGGAAGAAAAAAAAATCTGTATTTCTGAAAAACAGAAACCCAACTATTCCTTGATACATGTTTTATTCCCCAGGGATTAGCAGCAGCTCTTCTCCCAGTTCCAGATTGAATATGAGAAGGAAGAAGTCCATATGCTACAGAGCCCACTGTTACAAGGGAGGCTTCATGGTGCAATGGAACTAGACTTTATGTTTGAAGCTAATGTGTTTGGGTTTGAATCCTCATTTGGTAATTTTCTTTTGACTTACTCACTCTCAAATGCAATACAATGGGGAAAATCTATCTAACTCAGGAATTATTGTGAGGGTTAAATGAGCTCACAGATGTGAAAATTCTTTATAAAAAATGAACCTGCAGATATGAAAGTTCTCATTTATATTCCCAAAGGAGTTGACTGTCTTTAGTACATGGCTAAGGCACATCTCCACTGGGAATGGTTAAGGAAATGCAGTAATTACTCCCAAATTGTTCCTTGTCCCTCACTGGAAATGTGTGACCTTGGTCTCCTGGGTTCCCAGCCTGGCTGGTAAAAATGGATACCGTTGTTGTTGGCTGGATCTGGTTTAAAAGAGAGAGTGTACCTCCTTCCCACTTCAGGGTTGAGCTTGTGACTTTTCTTCCTTTCCCAGCTCTAACCCTTTTGGAGAGAAATTGAAATATTAGTTCATACCTTAGGGCTGACAGTATTTGAATTTATTGCTCCTGAGCTAGGTAAGGGCAGTTCTTGCAGGCTGCAGTCAGCAGTGTGTGTGTGTGTGTGTGTATGATTTATGCCAAGCACTTTATATGTTTGTTGTGTCATATTGAATAACTTAGATGGATGTAATAATTATAATTCCTTGAGGTTTGTACTTTCCTCTCTAGGAAAATATGATCTCTTTTACAATTTTGCTGAAGATCTGGCCTGCATCCAAACTATGGGCACAAACTTCCAGATTTAAAACAGTGGTCTCTATTTTTTTGCAAATAATTGTAAACATGCGTGTATAGATTTTTTTTATTATGTTCTTTCAAATATTATAACATATGCTTTTCATGAACTTATTTCATTGGCTAAATAATATTATTTCCAATGGATATGTACCATAGTTGCTTTAAACTTTTCGATATTGGCTGAAATTAGGTAGTCCATCAAAAACATTGACCAGGGCCTGACCTGGAGCCCCAAGAAATTCACTTCATAAGCAGCTGTCTTTTATTTATTAAAAATATTTTATTGATTTCAGAGTGGAAGGGAGAGGGAGAGAGAGATAGAAACATCAGTGATGAGAGAGAATCACTGATCGGCTACCTTCTGCATGCCCCACACTGGGGATCAAGCCTGCAACGAGGCATGTGCTCTGACTGGGAATCGAATTGTGATCTCCTGGTTCATAGGTCAACACTCAACCAGTGAGCCATGCCAGCCGAGCAGGCAGCTGTCTTTTTAAATTCAGTGGTTGGTATTCTAGTTTCTCTATTCACGTTTGGTCATCTGATTAGGGACTGAGGCAATACATTTATCCAAAAGCTTTTGGGAAATTACAAATCCAATCTTCTCCTCTTTAATGAGGAGCAGATGTCTCTTTTTTGGTCAAATTATGCTCTGCTAGAGAAAATATAATATGGTGGTTAGAAACATGGGTTTGATATCTGATAAATCTGAGATTGAATGACCTGTCCATATTTCCATGCTGAATATTTTAGGCAAATTATTTATACTCCCTAAGCCCTAGTTTCCGAGTGGTTAAATAAGAATAATGCCTTTTTTTGTGGTCCTATTAGGCTGATATGATTTAAAGTATATGTCACACCAGTTGGCCTATATTCCACAATAAATATGTGATTAATAAATGGTCTTCATTATAATTGTTATTGTCATTATTATTGATATTACCATGTAGGCACATATCTTGAAACCATAGGTTTTCATTCATTCTCAAACTTTCAGATTTATTTCCTAAGGTTCTAGAGTGCTTTCAGGCAGCAAGCACTGTCTTCCTTGAGGATATAGTTAATAAAATCCTGTAATACAGTGGGAAGAATTTAGTCTTTGAAGCCAGATAGACCTAGTATCAAATCCCAGGTTCACCATATACTTGTGCTATAACATTGGGTTGGTTTCATCACTGAGTCCCAATTTTCTCCTCCCTAACATGAGAATTAGATGCCTATGTGGGAAGAAGTGAGCAGTATTTGAAAAGCACCTGGTCCAAATTAGGTGCTAAATCCTATTTTATTGACAATGTGACTGTTACTAGCCCCATCACAGCCATCTCAGTCAAACTGGAAAGATAGTAAATTTCCTTTCAGTGTCTACAGCCTCTGCTTTCACTCTACCTGTAATCCCCACCCCTCCCCACTTTGTCTTAGTAGGCCAATGGCCTTGTTCAGCCACCCAAGCCTGCTCCCCCACAAATGTACGGCTCCCAGCCATTCCATCTCAGTGAGAGTGTTGAGCAGAGGACTGTCTCTCAGGAATACTTGCCTTTAAACCTAATCTGTAGTTGGGACCTTAAAGCCTTTTTCCTCTTGCTGAAAGAATTTAAGGTATCTGCAGGCTATTGAGGGTGGTGTTTTGGGAAGGAATATGGAAGGCTCGATGCTCTGGAAGCCACACCACACAGGTATAGTTCTGCATGTCCCCTGAGAAAAACTGACCCAGATAATCTGAAGAATCTCAAGAAATTTAAGAGTGCGTTCCATTACTCATTTCCCACAACCCATGAAGACTGTGGGATCAGGTTTGGGTCTGAGCATTGGAATCTGTGCGGAAAGTCTCTCTGCCTCTGGGGCTAAGGAGCAAACCATCTTCACCTCTTTCTAGAAGACCTGATGGTTAAGCATTCATTAATATACTGATTTGATATCTGGTTCCAGATATATAGGGAGCCAGTCAGCTGCTTTGCTGTAGTCATTGAAAGTTATCATTTGACATGAAATTTTCCTTACTGGATTAAGTTGGTTCATAACTACACTCTTTCTTTCACTCAGTTGGGGTGGGAAACCAGGTCTGGTGGCATATGGTGGCCTTCTGAATCCAGTTGACAAAGTGATGATGAGACCTCTGGACACTATCTTCTTGCTCCTGCTTCTTTCCCTCGTGTTGGATAGTGTATTGATTATTTGACTTCATTTTTTTCTGTGTATTTCTAGCTCATATTGATTGAGCTTTTTGTCTTGTCCTTATTAACTCACAGGAATTCTGCATGTATCCTGAGTGCTAATCTCTTACTGATTTGGGCAGTGTGCCTTCTCCATCCATGGCTTGTCTCTTTGTGGCTTTGTTACGGTGGAAGTGGTTGTACTAAAGAAACTTTATTTTAATGCAATCAAATTTATATTTATGCAGTATGCTTTGGTAAGTCTTGATTCAGAAATGTGTTACTACCCTAAGATCATATTATAATTTACAAAATTTTTCTAATGTTTCTGAAATTTTGCTTCTTACATTTAAGTTTCTAATATATCTGGGATTATTTTTATGTATGGTGTGAAGTAGTGATATAATGTTATTTCCCCCTTATGGAAAGAAAACTGCCTTAGCAGCATTACTTGAAGAGTCTGTATTTTTTTCACTGATTTATAGTGCCACTCTGTCAGTTACCAAGTCCTCCTCATAAATGTGTCGGTGTCTAGGCTCTCTATTTTCCTCCACTGGTTTATTGGTTTACCTTCATAAAAATACATTATTTGTTGTAATCAATGTAGCTGTATAGTAAGATTTGATATGTTACAGTGAATTCCTGTCTTTACCATTTATATATAGTGATATTTCAATAATTAATGATCTGGGTTAGGAAATAAATCTCTTGTAGGCTAATTTAAAAACACTGGAAGGAATAGAATTCCTCTTTGAAATTATTTTTGGCTTTTAGATGCACTTCTTTGAATGTGATGCCATGTTATTAGGATTATTAGGACTAAACTGGGGTCTTGAATAAGGCCTGATGTAAGTTTCTTAAATGGGCTGTCATGACGAATTTAATTGGATGAGACATCTTTTATTTGATCAACAAATTTATATTGTGTATATTGTGTATGCATTAATTATCTGTGACAGATTCTTGTTCTACAACCAATGAACCAATTAGAAATAATGATGGGATATGTAGACAAGCAGGGGATACAGAGTTAAACAGATCATTACACACAAAATTATGAAGGCCGATGAGATTTCTGATATCAAATAATTTGCTTTGTTTCAAGATGACAAACTCTGGAGTCAAAATGCTTGGATCCAAATCCCAGCTTCTCCTTTTCTTACTGCTGTGAGAGTGAGACTGTCTGCCTCAGCTCTCTCATCTGAAGGGTGGAAATAATAACAGAACCAATCTAATTCATATACTTAAGATTGTTGAGTCAGTTACTGCATGTAAATTATTAGACCAGGGCACAAAACAGCGTTTAATAAACATTAACTGTTAATATTATCATTTACAGAGACTGGGACCACATTGGGAAAGAAAGTGGTTGTACATCCTAAGCTATACTTCTTTTACATTTATTCAGCAAAATATACATAAAATGTAAGAAAATATGAAGACATTCTCTAAATCAAAAGAATGTCTCTATTTTGCTATGTCACAACTATCATTTTTTTAATTCCAAGGAATTCCACCTTTCCCTTCAGCTTTTTCCACCAGTCTGCTCCAGCTAGGGTGCCAGTATGAGGAGGGAGAACCAGAGCAGCGGGTCCCAGTTCCTCCTCCTGGGGCTCCCCATCCCGCCAGGGCAGAAGGGCCTATTCTTCAGCCTGTTCCTGGGCATGTACCTGACCACGGTGCTGGGCAACCTGCTCATCATCCTGCTCATCAGGCTGGACTCTCGCCTGCACACGCCCATGTACTTCTTCCTCAGCCACTTGTCCTTCACTGATGTCTGCTTTTCATCTGTCACTGTCCCTAAGATGCTCACAAACATGCAAACCCAGCACCCATCTATCCCCTATGAAGGCTGTATTTCACAGACATATTTTTTCATACTCTTTGCTGATCTGGACAGTTTCTTGATCACATCAATGGCTTATGACAGGTATGTGGCCATCTGTCACCCTCTGCAGTACACCACCATCATGAGTCAGAATGTTTGTGTCATGCTGGTGGCTGGGTCCTGGGTCATTGCTTCTGCTTGTGCTCTTTTGCATACCCTCCTCCTAGCCCGTCTGTCCTTCTGTGCTGACCACACTGTCCCACACTTCTTCTGTGACCTTGCGGCCCTGCTCAAATTGTCCTGCTCAGACACTTCCCTCAACCAACTGGTAATCTTTACTGCAGGATTAACAGCCATTATGCTTCCATTCTTATGCATCTTGGTTTCTTATGGCCATATTGGGGCCACCATCCTCCGGGTTCCCTCTGCCAAGGGCATCCGTAAAGCTCTGTCTACGTGTGGTTCTCATCTCTCAGTAGTGACTCTGTATTATGGGGCAATTATTGGTCTATATTTTCTTCCTTCATCCAACAACAGCAATGACAATAATATAATCGCTTCATTGATGTACACAGTGGTGACTCCCATGCTGAACCCCTTTATTTATAGCCTGAGAAATAAAGACATGAAAGGGGCACTGAGGAAATTCTTGCATAAGAAAACATATTACTCCAGCTGATACTTTCTTTTTAAAACACCCATGTGATCATATTTCCTTAATAGCATGTAAATATAAATTACTAAAAACAAAGCTCACTTGTCTTCCTTCTATAGCTGTCAATCACAAACCTTGGCTGACATTATTCTTGGACTTGTTATGGGAATAGTAAAATAGGATGTGCTTTATAGGACTTAATTTGCTCTTTTTTTAATAATGGGGACTATAAAATACTTGGAGGATACTGTGTCACTTTGACTGGTATCATTAAATAGAAGCTGCCAGAGCTGGTCCTTCCCCCAATTTTTAAGTTGTAAAATGTGTTTGGCCTTTCACACCTTCATTTTGAAAGAATTTTTCATTTTGGTGATGATATGACGTCTTCTCCCCCAGGCACCCACACATCTAGGGACTCTGAGCCCTTCTATAAGTTTAAGGGAGAACATATTAAATCTTCCTCTCCTTACATAATAATTCACACACTGCATTCCTGTCCTTTAGGAATATATCTCACACATCCTTTCTCTCCAACACATGCAGATATTCAGCAACAAAATAAATGTCACATCCATTGTCTCAGGTGCCAGTCAGAAAGCTTAATATGCACTAAAGCCATCTACTTTAATCCTGAGAACAACCCTAAGAGGGAAAACTCAGGCTCAAAGAGGCGAAGGACAGTTTATAATTGCAGTTAGTGAAATGAAAACTTGAATCTTGGCTGTCTGACTCCACAGCGATTCAGTCAAGAATAATTCTATAGAATGCTGTGTCCTGAGGAGGAATAATCAGCTCAGCCCAGTGGCAGAGGATATATGAAAAACTCCTCAGAGAAAGTGCTGCTTTACCTGAGACTTAACAAATCAGAATTACCCAGACACACAAAGTCTTCTCTCAGCCTGATGATCAAGGCAAAGGGAGCAGCCTTGAACTAGAAGTTCCACCAGAAGCACCATGATTTCAGAGACACCAGATACCAAAGGGAGTTGTAAGGCACACAATAAAGATGTTTATAGGAAATACCCCGTAATCAATGTCATAACTCTTGAGTGTCTGAACCTGGATCTAAAATGCTAAGAGATGGAGGAGATGAGAGGTTCTTGTAAAGATGTTTCTTTTGGATAAAGCTGAGCAGTGAGTCCCAAAATCTCCCTTGGGGGGATGTGCCTTCCTCCTCACCTTAAACTTGGAGAAGCTTCAACAGCACCGTTTAGAGAGTTTGATATACTATATCCCCTGTTTTTATGACTGTGAAGAGCAATAGGAAAGATGAAATGGGAGGAGAGCAAGAGTGAGAGTGAGCAAGAAAGAGAATGAATTATATTTGAGAAACACCTTCACTTATTTTCATAGTGGCGCAATAAAAGCATAAATGTTTCCTATGGACCACAGATGGATTATGTGTGAGAGAGAACTGATATGCAACCATTTTCCCAAGAAAACCCATTAGAAAGTCTGGGAGATTCCAAGAAAGAGTAAGAGATCTGTAGGGGATGCACCACCCCAGAACCAGGGGCTATGAGAGGAAACATTCACAGGAAGAAAATATATTTAGTACTTTAGCTATATCACAGAGGATTTGTGGGAAGACATTCTAGTATGGAAGTCTTTGAACATCCCCTGGCCTGGAAGTGACAACAAAAGAATGAATTAGTTTTAACCATCATCCAGGTGGAGAGAAGTCAAACCTCTTTAATATGGTAGCAACCAAAGAAGCATATTATTGTCACCCCTTTCTCACTCTTGCTCTCATGCCCCATCCCCACAAAGGTGGGTTCAATAAATGCAACTAGACTTCAGAAAAATGAGAAAAAAGGCAATATGCAATTCTGACAACTTCCTGGATCTCAGATTCTTGCCTGGCAGAAAGAAGTGATAGAAAGTATTAGTTTTTAAGAGTGAGGAATTGATCACTCAAAAGTAAAAAGAAATCTGTATGTTGGATGGAACAAGTAAATATTTCTGTGAATTAAAAAATATGTAGATTTTTTTCATCCAGTATTTTATCTCTGTGTGTTCTAGATTCCCAGTCTCAAAGAGGCCACAATTCATCTCATCATTCCCATGTCCTTAGAAAAAAATCAGGAAATAAACTATTTTTTACAGGATTTTTAGATATTTTATTTTTTGTTAAGTAGGTATATTCCAGGGTCCTTTCCCTGCCATTCCTATTGACGTTAGTTTAGAACAGGGGTGGGAAACCTTATTTCTGCCAAGAGCCATTTGGATATTTATAACATCATTTGTGGGCCGTACAAAATTATCAACTTAAAAATTAGCCTGCTATATTTGGTCAAACATTTAATTAACTCACCCCTAATGCCTTGGCAGGGCCAGACCAAATGATTTTGTGGGCCTTTTATGGCCAGTGGGTCGGACAGTCCTCATCCCTGGCTTAGAATAATTAGTTTTATCACAAAATATAATATCCTTCAGTACTTTTGAGAAATGCTTCAAAGTTCTCTTTTCATTTCAGTGATCTGAAATTATAAGCACTTCCTGGGTCATCATAACAATCTCCTTATAATGGAGATCCAAATATCTACTAATTGTGAGCTTGGATTTTCCAGTTCTAATCTATACTAATAAAAGGTATTATGTTAATTAGACTGAATGTCTTCCGGATGTCCTTCTGGACATCTTTCCAGACAAAGCCATGGTGGTGGGGGCCGAGGCAGAGTCAGTTAGGGGCGATCAGTCAGGCAGGGGAGCAGTTAGGGGGCGATCAGGCCGGCAGGGGAGCAGTTAAGGGCGATTAGGCTGACGGGATTGCGAGAGGGATGTCTCACTGCCGGTAGTCGGACATCCCCTGAGGGGTCCCAGATTGGAGAGGGTGCAGGCCTGGCTGAGGGACCTCCCCCTTTACATGAATTTTGTGCACCGGGCCTCTAGTAGATATAAATAAAAATACATTCCAGAGCAATCTTGGTCATCATGTTTTGTTTTGTTTTCATGTACTTTTGAGATATTTTATGAAGATTATTAATTTAATCTACCATGTCTTTCAAAGAAACATTGAAAGTGATCATAAGAAAATGGGGAAATATTTGCATGTTTGGCTATCAGTATTTTTCAGTGGGGGTACTCTTAATACTTTGAATAGGGCAGTCCTTTGTTGGGCAGGATGTCTTGAGCATTTCAAGCCATTCAGCAGCACTGGCCACTGACCACTAAATGCCGGTAGCAGAGTCAGTCATTGGATTAACCACACATGCTCTCAGAACTTCTTAAACTCCATTGGAAATTTAAAATACCTGGAGAAGTTCACTGACATTGTTTTAAATTATTTTGTTAGCTTAAGATATTTTGGGAGAAGGCTAAGGGTTAGTTCTAGTACTTACATACAAATTAAGTGTGATTTTTTTTTTTTTAAGTGCTTCTGATTAGGGTGAGACTAAAGCAAGGCAAAAGAAGCATATGTGTAAAATTTACCTCAAGTGCAAAATTTGAGACATTTCAAAAATTCAGTAATTAAAGCAAATATTACTTAAAGATTAATTTTTAATTAAGATGAGCTCAATTCACTCTTTTACCAAATTAAAATTAATACAAAAATATATGATCGACAAAATAATGAAATGTAAATAAAGACAGAAACTGATCCTGTACCTGCACAACTCAGCCTCCTTACCCTAATCCTGCCTAATTCCTTAGCAGTCTTCCTAAGGTGTTTTGTATCCTTTTTCTCTGGCATCTTCATGGGTTTATTCTTTGCCTTTGGTTTTCTTTTTACCCTTAGTTATGATGTGTGTAGGTGCATTTCTTTTTTTCAAATTTATCTTTCTTTCAGTTTGCTTCACTTCTTTCTTGATCCTGTAAGTTGATGCTTTTAACCAAATTTGAGAAATGTTGAGTTTTTATGTTTTTACATGAATTGTGTGCCCCACTCATTATACCATTTTTTTTTTTAATATATTTTATTGATTTTTTACAGAGAGGAAGGGAGAGAGATAGAGAGTTAGAAACATCGATGAGAGAGAAACATCGATCAGCTGCCTCCTGCACATCCCCTACTGGGGATATGCCCGCAACCCAGGCACATGCCCTTGACCGGAATCGAACCTGGGACCCCTCAGTCTGCAGGCCGACGCTCTATCCACTGAGCCAAACCGGTTTCGGCATTATACCATTTTTCTTTTATGTAATGAACATACTTATGATAACTACTTCCACATATTTTTTGGTCAGTTTCAGTGTCTATGCTTTCTTGTGATCTGTTTCTTATGACCCTTTCTTGACATGATGCCCTTTTGTTTACTTCATGTGTTATGTAATTTTTCAATGTTTATTGAAAATTTTGGAAGATGCATTTTGTATGAAGCATATTTTAGTTTTAAAGGTGCTGAGTTTTGTTCTGGTAGATAGTTAAACTACTGGCAGAACCTTTTTAATCTTAGATTTTGGATTTTGGAGAGGAAAGAATGTTCATGTTGCATGTGCAGGACGAGCAGGTCTTATATCCAATGAATAGGGAGAACAGTGCTTATCGTGGGGAACACGTTCCTCTACTGAATATACTTCCTAGAGCCCCTTTCATATCCCGATTCCTCAGACTGTAGATGAAGGGATTTAGCATGGGAGTGACGAGGGTGTACAATACAGCCACAATGACATCCTTGTTGCTAGAGTTGTTGGATGAAGGAAAAAAGTACAGCCCAATAATTGCTCCATAGTACAGAGACACCACAGAGAGGTGGGAGCCACATGTGGACAAGGCTTTGCAGATGCCTTTGGTGGAGGGGACTTTCAGGATGGTGGCCCCAATGCGACCATAAGAAACCAGGATGCATATGAGTGGCGCAGTAATGACCACCACTCCCACGGTGAGGATAAGCAGCTCATTGACTGTGGTGTCTGAGCTGGACAGCTTAAGTAAGGTGGAGAGATCACAGAAGAAGTGTGAGAGAGTGTTGTCTCCACAGAAAGAAAGACGGGCCAGGAGGAGGGTGTGCAAAAGAGCACTAGCACAGGATTGGACCCAGGACACAATTACTAGCAAAACACACAGGCTCTGACTCATGATGGTTGTATAGTGGAGGGGATGACAGATGGCCACATACCTGTCATAGGCCATTGAGGTAAGAAGGAGACTATCAAGATCCCCCCAAAATAAGAAGAAGTACACCTGGGAAATGCATCCAGCATAGGAGATGGATTGATCCTGAGTATGCATATTCATGAGCATCTTTGGAGCTGTGACTGATGAAAAGGAGATGTCAGTGAAGGCCAAGTGGCTGAGGAAGAAGTACATGGGCGTGTGTAGGCGAGAGTCCAGCCTGATGAGCAGGATGATGAGCAAGTTGCCCAGCACTGTGGTCAGGTACATGCCCAGGAACAGGGCAAAGAACATGCCCTGCTGCTCTGGCCGGATGGGGAGCCCCAGGAGGAGGAACTCTGACACGCTGCTCTGATTATTCGTCCTCATGATCTTCTTCTGTTTTGCTGTAGATGAAAAAAAGATATGGAGATGTGAAAGAATGTGAAACCTTAATGACTACAAGTAATAGAAACATGACAATTAGTGAGTACATGAATTTTAACCTGAATAACTCATGCTTTTTGCCCACTAATTGGCTAATGGTGGTCTGATATCAGGATAGTATATGTCCACCTAGAAACCAATGCAATCTCTTCTGGAAAAACCACGAACCATCAGAATGACAATCATGTCTGGTCAGGTACAACTTTGAGGAGTCTAGGAATTCATGACAGAAATCTGAGATTAGGGGCAAGGCTAGGTCAGTAACTAGTTATTAGAAGCACTAGTAGAGGCCCTCCATGAGGCCTGTTGTCCTTTCTTAACCTCCCCATGACTCTCAGCCAGAGCATATTTCTAATATTTTTCTTTCTCCAGAAATATTTCATTAATAACATTGTTTCTATACCATGCTTTATTTCAATGGATTGGGTCAAGATAAGACAACCAAGTGGACTGCACAGGATCTTCCAGAAATCAGGATTTGGCAAGTTCGTGGAAACATCGCATATAACTTACGGACATTAAGAAGAATCTATGCTAATAATAATAAATCTAGAGAAATAGTTTATTACATAGCCATCAGTCCTTTAAGATAATTCCTTCCTACTCCTCAACATTTTCTGTCTAGCATTACTCTTTCTAAAGGATTTGTCATGGAATGTGGAGAAAAATGTCTGTTTCTCTTCCAAATTCTCAACTTATTCTCACAATTCTTACCAGATCACTCTTGTTCAAGTTCTCAGAACACCAGGAAATGCTTTTCCTCCCAGTCATATCTTGGATCTGCCAAAGAATAAAGTTTGTAAGTGTCCACTTTTTTTTTTTACAGTTCCTATCCTATGCTAGTGATTCATAACTGATATTTTTCTTGTCATATTCTAACACTTCTTACGCTTTGCCAGTACTATCATTTCTCTCTCTTTCAGGTCAATAATTTTAGACTTGCCCATGTGATCACTCACAAAATAATAGTGAAAGAAAACAGAAAGATCTAAGTATTAAAAAATAGAATCCACATATTATGTAAATATTTATTCAATCTAAAGATCCTTCTCTTTGAAAGCTGAGAAAGTGTCGCACTGTAGGACTCATCATTCATCTTGGGGGTTAACTAAAGTTTACATTATCTACCAATTCTTCCAATTTGACTGAAATTATCTCTAAAATACATTCTTTAGTCTATTACATTAACAGTCCTGTTAATTTAATGTTGTTACCTGAGATGAATTGCACATTCAGTTTCACTAGTCATTCCCACGTTAATAGTAATCAGTTTACCTACCACAATGAAAGGGCTAATTAGCTGTGTGATGGAAATTTTGGTTGTTTCTAACATTCTTCTGTTTCTAACAATATTTCACTAATAACATTATTCATATGCCATTTTCATATTAATATATGTATTTGAAGGAAAAAACTTAGAAATGGAATAGGAGGATGTACATTCACAATTTTGATAGATATTGTCCAATTACAAGAGGCTAAGGTGCTGAGGAAACCTTATCTTATGTGTTCTTTAAGATGAGTCCTGAAAAATGACAGCATGTCATGTGAAGATTATAAAAATGGTCATTCAGGTTAAGTGGAGAAGACAGGGCTATGGTGTTTGAGGAACAGGGAAAATTCAGGAGCGTGTCAGCATAGGAACATCATGAGGTTGGAGATTGGTCTGGGAACCAGATTATATAAGGTCTTTTCTGCCATAATGGAAAGTTAGTATTCTATTCTCAGAGCAACAGAACACTCATGAAAACGTTTAAGGAAAGGGATGACTGCAAACATTTAAATAGTATGCTGGCTCCTGGGCAGAGAACAGATTAGGGCAAGGCAAGAGTGTTAGCAGAAATATTAGGATGACATAGCAGTAGTTCAGATACAAAAGTGATACCTGCTTACACCTGGATTATAGCAGAAGATGAAGATCATTATAGAATTGGGATAAAATTGGAGGAAAACCCAGTAAGACTTAATGGGGGATGAATGATAAGCAAGAGGAAGTATGTTTTTTCTATTTCATGAAAAATTAGACAGAGGATCAGTTTGAGATCAATTAATCTACATGGAGCTCTGTGTTATACTCTGGTGTGAGGTGCTGCAGGGACAGGCTAGAGACCAGTAACTTACATTGGACACACACAAACACACAAACACATGCAGTCACACTACTGAATAGTGAATTCCACTTCTGATCTAATATTGCCTTTTAGGTGATGAGCACTTACACTTTCAGCTGCAGCATCAGAAGGTTCCACTATTTCTCTCTAGAAGACACACAATACAGTGAAGCAGGTGGAGTCTCTAAGGGTCTCAAAGATACATCACAACAGGGAGAATAATTCTTGGTTTAAACCCAAATAAGATAGATATGTGAAACACACTTGTTTAACACTCTCAGCAATGGGTGTGGGCTCTAACTTAATAGATTATGGAGAAAACCCAGGTGGTGGTGGGTGGCCAACTCTACACCCCACCCCCTGCCTCCAAATTAGAGACAAACTGGAATAATTGCTTTTTTGCCTTTAGTTCCCTTGAGGGGATAACTGTTTGTTGATAGCAGGCACTTAGAGAGTTCATCCTTGGAGGCACAATGCTAATAACCACAACGCAGCTAATAGGGACTTGGCGATTCCAAAAGGTTTTTGTCTTCTCAGTTGACATTAGGGAAAATGCTTTTCCAAGTTCATAACAAACCGAACTGGAAGTTGAGTGTGTTAGTGAATCTCTCTTGTTTCTGAACCCAGTGCTACTTCAGGAACACCAGAACCACGCGAATACTTTCACTCTCCGAACAAAAGGTTGAGGGGCATTATAGCCCACCATCACAGTGGGACCCTGGGGAATGGATCATGGTTTCTATAAACCCTGGTCTCCTGCGCACATATGCAAATGTGCATATACACACACGCAGAGAAAGAGAGACAGAAACAGAGAGAGATCTGTACTCATAAAAATAAAACTGTAGAAATTTAGTGAAATCGTAAGCATAAAAATCAGGTTGTATCCTTTTAAGAGAAGGCAGACAGGCAGGATTTGAAGGAGCTCATGGGTAGATTCAAATGATGCTTTTAAAAAATAAGTATTTATAATGGAAGTATAACATGCATACAGCAAAATTAGCATGCATTAAGTGCTGATTGATGAATTCCAAAGAAATACATTCCTAATATTATCAGCCAAATAGAGAAAAATCCTTCATCATGCCTTTCCCAGTAATTTCCTCCAGAGGTAAATCTCCTTGTATTTATCACCACATATTACTCTTGTGTGTTGTTTTTTTTTAACTCATAAAGGTGAAAAAAATTAAGTAGTCTACATTCTTCTTATATTTTATTATAATATATGCTTTACATGCTCAGATATTACTGAACTAGTCCATCCATTTGAACAAATACACATGAGTACACAAAGCATTGCCCTCACTCCACACAGTTTCTTTGAGCCCCTTCCCATTGACATCCTGTAGGAGCCGCCAGTAATCTCTCTTTCTCTTTTTTGAAAAACTTCTTTATTGTTGAAAGTATTACATACGAATCCTTCCCCCCCCCCGTTGACCTCTCCCCACTCATTCCCACCCCCTCTGCACATGTCCTCACCCCCCTACTGACTGTGCCCATGGGTTATGCTTATGTGCATGCATACAAGTCCTTTGGTTGATCTCTCCCTCCTCTTCCCTGCACCCCATAGCAATAAGTGAAAACAGTTCTGGAGGTGGCTCCAGCTCTGGCACTAGAGCTGCTCTAGCTCTATAGCTGGTGCTAGAGTGGGCGATGGAGCTAGCTCTAGCTCTGAGACTGGCTCTAACTTAAAACTTGTGCTAGTTCCAACTTGAATGGGTAGCTGAGCTGGTGGTACTGGATGTGACTCTTATGTCTGGAGCTGGCTCCAGCTGTGGACTGACTCTAGATTTGGTGCTGATGCTGAAAGTGGCACGGTAGCTGGCTCTAGTTCTGGGACTGGTGATAGACTATGTTCTACTAGGTGTACCGGTTAATAATGCGGATTTTTTCAATAGATGGATTTTCACATATGTTGATATATATGCCATATATATATATATATATATATATATATATATATATATATATATGTTGATATGTATGCTATTTTGTTGTATTGACCCCCAAGCTTCAAAACTGCAGATGTCAAATTTTCTGAAGGTGTTAACATAATAGATATTTTTATGCTTAAATTGTCAAAGTTTGTGCCAAAAAAAGAGCATTTGCGGCAAGGTTTAATTCGTTACTTTATTTTGAAGAAAAGTGCTACTGAATGTTATCGTATATTTCAGGAAGCTTATGATGAACATGCTCCATCTCAAGATACTTATGAACGCTGGTTTAAACACTTTAAAAGTGATGATTTTGATGTGAAAGACAAACAACATCCAGGTCAATTTGAACCACGCTTTGATTGTAAAGCGACCAGAATGGTCCAGAAGACACAGCAAAGTAATTTGCTTCATGATAACACACTATCACACACTTCAAAACCAGTTAAAGACACGTTAAAAAATCTTGCCTCGGAAGTATTAACACCCCCTCCCCCCCTCCGTATTCACCAGACCTTGCTCCTTCAGATTACCACTTGTTTCAATTGATGGCACACGCACTTTCTGAGCAGCACTTCAAAACGTATGAAGAAGTGGAAAATTGGGACTCTGAATGGTTTGCCTCAAAACAAGAAAAGTTCTATTGGGACGGTATCCACAAATTACCTGAAAGATGGGGGAAATGTGTAGGTAGCAATGGACATTACTTTGAATGAAGCACTTTCGATGTTTCTCTTGAAATTATCGTGTTTTCTTTTTTAAAAAATATATTTTATTGATTTTTCACAGAGAGAAAGGGAGAGAGATAGAGAGTTAGAAACATCGATGAGAGAGAAACATCGATCAGCTGCCTCCTGCACATCTCCCACCGGGGATGTGCCTGCAACCCAGGTACATG